CTGTCCCTCAGCTCTTCAGCTCAAGGCTAGTGCTCTACCACTTGAGCCACAGCACCACTTCCCGCTTTTTTCTTTTTGCTTATGTGGTGCTGAGGAATCGAACCCAGGGCTCAGGCATGCAAGGCAAGCGCTTTAACCACTGAGCCACCTTCCCAGCCCCTCATCTGTCTATTCTATTCTATCATCTGTGCATTCTATCATCTATTCTAGTCTATTCTGTCTATTCTACCCTAGCATCTACCCTAGTATCTCTCTGTATTTGCTCTAGCACATGAAAATGACAATGTCACATTCAAAGCTGCATCATCAGTTCCGCTTGGAAAACGGGACCCTACATTGGACAAGGAACTGAGGAGACGGTGAGCCCCCTTGCTGCCGGAGGCCCCTTCCCCGCTGCCCTCCCAGGCGGCTCCAGGCTTGGGGTCTGCCCGGCGCCGCTGGGAGGGGCCGGCACTTGGGATTCAGCACAGTGGCCTCCCGCTCTCCTCCCTCTTTGTGCTGGGTGCTGGCCTTTGAACTCAGGGTTGGGTGGGGCTCTACCACTTGAGTCACAGCTCCACTTTCAGCTTTTTGCCAGTTAGTTCTCCAATTGAGATATGAGCCATCTTATGACTTATCTCTCATGGACTTTCCTGCCTGAGCTGGCTTTGAACCCTGATCCTTGGATCTCAGCCTGCTAAGTAGCGGGGGTTACAGGCGTGAGCCACGGGAGCCTGGCTAGCACAGAAATTTTGTTGGGCGGTCTGGAGGTGGGCCGGGTCCTCCCAGGACCACCCAGGCTGCCCAGTCCCGTCCCTACCCAGGCTGCCCCCCAGGGGTCACCTTGCCTGTCTCCCCCTGTCCTGTCTGCTAGCCTGTCAGGACTCCACCCTGTGGCCCCCCCATGAAGGACGAATGACCCTCCCTCTCATCGGGCTGGTGGGGGACACAGTGCCCCCCCACTTGGCTGTGGGTGCACAGAGGTCTCAAGCATGCAACAAGGATTTCCAGTGTGACCCGATTGGATACAGATGATGTCAGGGTGATAAGGAGAGCCGGCCGGACTGCAATTCTGGAATGAAGGGAGAAGGCGGAGCTGACAGACAGGAAATCAGCAAACAAACACACCAGAGAGTCAAGCCGGGGAGAGAGGGACAGGGGGCACCGGGACAAAGGACGGGATGCAGACAGGAAGCCGGAGGTGGAGACCACCCTAACTGCCATCACACCACACACTCACCTCCATGGGGTGTTTACCTGGTGGACTATTACTCAGCCTCCAACAGGAATGGGGGCGGGGGGGGGCACACTCCACTCAGCCCAGCATAAACAGGAAGAGCAAGGACTCGGCACAAAGACCCTATCTGAAAACTAACCAGAGCCCAAGGAGCTGTGGGGGTGACTCTGTGGTACAGCACCGGCCTGGCAAGTACCAAATGATGTTGAGTTCAAACCCCAGGTGGAGTGGGAGACTGCTGGGCGCAGGTTTTCTTTGGGAGGTGGTGAGGATACATGAAATTACAATTCTGAACATCAAACAAAGAAAGGGGGAGGAGGGGAAGAGAAGGAGGGAGGGAGGAAGGAAAGGTGGATGACGGATGGAGGATGGGTGAACTAATGAATATCAGAGACAAAGTTGTGCACAGATAACCACCAAGTTCTCCCGATACCAACGCCTCAGCCCGGCCGGGCACAGCTTGGCATCTGTGTTGGGGCCCTGGCTGGGCCATCTTTCTGGCCTGGCTGGTTTTCAACTGGCCAGGCGCCGGTGGCCCACCCACGCCTATAATCTAGAAACTCAGGAGGCTGAGAGCTGAGAATCATGGTTCAAAGCCAGCCTGAGCAAGAAAGTCCATGAGACTTATCTCCAATAAACTACCAGAAGTGGCACTGTGGCTCAAGTGGTAGAGCACTTGCCTTGAGCTGAAGAGCTGAGGGACAGCACCCAGGCCAGAGTTCAAACCCCACGACCAACCAAAAAAAAAAAAACAAAGAAAGAAAATGAACCTCCGTGGGCTGAGCTATGAGCTGCCTAGCTCTCAGCCTCTCCAACCAGCAGGGGACACACAGAAGCAATGCGCAGAACTTTCCCGCGTGCCAGGTGAACTTGGGTCTTACCACAGCCAGCCTTGGCCCTGCTCCGCCTCCCGCCCCCCCCCCCCCGGCTTTGCAGGGTGCAGACCCAGGCCCAGCAAGCGCGCGCACCACATCCCAGCACTGGAGTCCAGTGGACTTCCTCTCTCGGCGTGGACTCTGGCGCGGACCGACCCTGCCAAGGATCTGCCCACGCGTGTGCCGAGACCTGTGGTCTCTCCGAGCCCGGCCAGCGCCCAGGCCAGAGGCCGGGAGACTTGGGCCCTGAGGTTCCCGGCTGCCCATGCTGTCGGCAGGCCCTGTCACCCAGATCCGCCCAAGACACACACACACACACACACACACACACACACACACGTCGATGTCTCCAGCAAGGAGCTCCGGAGAGAGCTGAGACCAGTAGATGAACACACTCAGTCCTTGTGAGCAACGCAGGCCTCTCTCCAGCCCAGCTCCACGCACCGCGCCATCCTGCCCCCCCCACCACCAGGGATGCGTCCTCTCTGACACAGGGCTGTCAGTCACCCATGGCAGGCAGCCTTCCTCGGGGTCCCCTGGACCACCCCAGGAGGAACAGGGGTGGCCACAGGGGCCAGGACCCCAGGGCCAGCTCAGGCCTCTGCCTGGGCCTGTTTCCCTGTTACACAGAGTCAAACGGCTGGAAAAAGGGAGAGG